AACTGATGTTGGGCAGCGAGTCAGACATACGAGGACACAATCTTCACTAAAACCACAATTTATTTACAGAAACACACTGAGATCACTTTCAAAATGAACAATGCAGTCCATTCAGTTTTGATGTGACCTACCTGTTTGGCAAATTGGTTATAAATCTAAAAAAAAAAAAAAAAAAAAAAAAGAACAGGTATTGCCTTTAAAATAGGATTAATCATGTTGTTGTTCAGATACCCACCAATGAAAGAAAAGACCACTCCTCCCATGTTGCTCGTCTTGATTCAGGATTTTCTCTTTGTCATGGGTTTAATCGTGCTTGAAAGAGTCAGAACTGCTAAACAGTTAATGATGTGTAATACATCAAATGCAGCCTGACAATTAAGTCATCAGGCGTCCAGGTTTTTTTTTTTTTTTTTTTTTTTTTCCTTTTGCACTAAACTACTGCAGCAAGGTTAAAAGTGATAATCAGCAAGCTGCCAAAAAAGTCTGCAGCCTGGTTTTAAGAGGACGTTCATAATTTGACATCGCCTGCCTGCTGATACATCAGTATAAGATTCGTGGCAGACTGTGACTGAACCGTTGTGATTTGCTTACATCTCCAGTTCAGTCTAATAATTAGGAAATCCAAGCAGAAAAAATCAAACAAAACAAAACAAAAAAGAAAAAAAAAAAAAAAAACTAACTGTGCAGGACACAAGCTATATACACATTTACATGATATACAAATTAAGCCAAAGAAAAACCTCGAGGAGTCCAAGCAGAAGTTCTAGGTTGAAGAAAAGACACAGACATTTCCCTCTGAGCGACGGAGATCCTTCGAGTTTAGCCCGCCGAAGCACAGCATGGGGAACGATCATTTCAGCCAATTGACTCTAAAGATCTGTGCATCATTGTGGAAGAAACATGCTGTATTAAATAAAGGACAGCAATCAGCCGTGCGTGAAGCATGCTACTGTAACAGACTGCCTATAGAGGAACGGCGTTGATGAAACCAAGCGGCCACATATGGGATACAGCTCTTAAAGCAGCACGCACACCACCAAAAACAACACTGTGAGTCGCTTTGGAAAAAGTGCTTAAAACGCATGTTCTCAACAGGCTGAGATCATTCAGTAAGTTCTCACTAAATGATAACCACTGAATGAAAACACAGTGTTACAGTATCAGGGAATTATCATGACAATTTAACATAAAATGGCCAAAAACATCTATTTGATTTAACTGCTTGCCAAAATAAAAATTATAGGTGATATTCTTGGTGAGACAAATTCATCTAACCTGTACGTGCAAGCTAAAGTAGCCATTTTTCAGTCAACAGGTGGGGGGCGCTAGACTCCAGCACTTTCTCTGGCATGTTATTTGAAAAGACTTTAAACCACAGAAGCAATGGGATGGAGCATTTTGGCCGTTTTTGTTACAGGTGCTGGATGGAGTTTTCCTCGTCTACCCGGACTGATCCAGGCGCTGATGAATAAATCCTAATGAAACTCAGGGTAAATCAGCACTTCTGAAGTGCAGTTGGGAGAACTGAGCTTTCGGGTCGCTGACAAAATCTGATCAATATCTTTATAATGTACAAAATTAGGAATATGTTCCATAAAACAAGCACAGCAACCAAACACATGGTACGCAGTGCTAGATATCTCTTGTTTCTGAGTGGTTGTCTGACATCTTAGACCTTGAAACACCTTCCTGTATTTTATGCATTTTTGGTTCATAAACAACTGATGTGAAATCAATTGAAGATCCTTTCCTGCTTGCCTCCTTTTTGCCACAGAGAAGTACGGATTCTTCATTGAAGTGCCGTGATCACACTACAAATGCGAACAACGCATAATGTGAAAATCACTGGTTCCAGATCCGCTTCCGTTTCCTGGGTTTGCTGCTTCCCGTTACGTGCACGTCTTTGGCCCGGCAGAAACATTTTTTTTTTTTATTCCCCATATCTTGAGCATCAGCCCCTGATCCCAGCCTAATTCGCCTTCTTCTGTCGATCCAGGAATTTTTGTCTTCTGTCTGGAGGGATCTCGTCCAGCCCGATTCCATGATTGACACCGCTGTAAGAGGAAAAGCAGCTTTTATGCGTCTGTGAGGAGAATACAGGACTAAACGGCACATTCACAGCAGGAATGAACATTTTTCAACTCTCCATTTAACACAGTTTGTTCTACACTGAACAAGTGAGAAAACTAATTAAACTGATTCTCACTTTATCATTATGATAATGTTTATTATTATTATAAGGAATGAAAACCTACACTGGTGGTCAGAAGAGTTAGAAATTAGGATTTATATTCTTCAAAATAAAAGCCTCAATTCCTCGTTTAGACTAAAATAAAAGTAGTTTCCACTAATGGATCACACTGTCTTTTCAAAACAACACTTAAAGAAACTACTCAAAATATAAGTGTAAGTATTATTAAAAACTATATCCTAGTAAAGTAGGTTCAGCATTACTAGAGAAAATAAACCACTTCTGAAAAAGGGTTTATGTTGTTTGTTCCTAATAAAACTCACAGATACTTTACAAGACATAAAAGTATTAATGACACAAACCATTAAAGGTAGCAGCTGTAAGGCTATTTAATTGTATTTGTTTTAAAATTCCTTTAAGTCACATTAATAAAATAATCTTGGTCAGCAACTCATTTTATTACATATTTGACAGAAATTAAGGCAAATATATTTATTTTAAAATTTGAAATTTAATACTTGAGTTGGAATTAAATGATTTTATTATTAAACAAACAAACCACTACCAGGAAAAAATCAAAAAGAAACTCAGAATAAATAACTGGAGATACATTAGCTGCTGAAAGACTCGATTTTATGACAAATTATATCAGTTTATGTCTCCGAAATTGAAACAGAAGTATTTCTGTGCACAATTTAAACTTCTAAATACCCAAATTTAGGAGAAAAAAATGGATGGAAAGGCAAAATAAAATTAGTGGAAAAACGATTAAGAGACTGAGTCTTAAAACAAGGTGATCAGATTGTGTTTGATTCCAGTTGGGCTCTTTTCTTGGTTCTGGTGCCTGACAGACTTATTTCCTAATCAGAAGGTTTTCCGTCATGATGATATTAAGTTACACTCATTTTAACAATTTATTGAGTTTTAAACTGGCAGGATAAGATAGTTGATTAAAAAAAATATTTGAAATGTGTTGTGTTCACAAGCATGAAAGCAAACCTGGTTTGTTCAGAAACTCCCAGATTTACAATTAACGTTTCTGTTACTTAAGTCAATTATCTAATATATTCTCTTTAATATTTATTTCTAGAATGAATTTTTGCATATTGAGGTTGGCCCTAAATCAGACATGAAAAGAAAAAGAAATATTTTGTAGTAGTAGTGGAAATCGAAGCAGTATTTCCCTCTGATCTACTTCTAAACATTTACAATGCACATAAAATGATTCTGCACATTGGCACAGGCAGCTAAAAAGTCAGGATTTAAGTTAAAACTGTTAACATTCTGATGTGTTCAGCTGATGCATCTGAAACTCAATTCAAATTATCTGAAGCCCTTCCAGATCCTTGAAGGGGCCACAAAATCTTCTATACCTCTGGACGGAGGAGTTCACAGTTTACCTGAGACAAATAACATTTAGGTAAAAATGTTTTCTTACTCTTTGCTCTCGATGGGAACTGGCAGAGGCTTGTCAAAACCTTCCTTCCCCACTAGCCAGTAGGTGGTCTCTATACCTTTTCCCTAAAATCAGATCACAGTTTGCGTTAACTTCTAAAGGACTTACAGTTTTTCTCACGTTATTAAAAAGTCAATCTTTCAGTGGTACATACCTTTAACTCTGTCAGACCTCTGACCTGAATCTTGTATCCCATATTCAAGTTGTTCAGGAGATCAACTGTTGTTTGGTTCACATGGATTCTGTAAGCTATGCATGCAGAAGAAACATAATTTCAGAGCAGGGAAATCGCTTTATGACAGATCCACATAGAAACTCTTTTGTGCCGGGTTGATCTGTCTTTATAGATGCTCCTCAAATTGCCAGTACATTGGGACACAGTTTGGGAAACTGAAGCTGATGACGGTGATGTAAGGTTAGACTGGTTGCCGTTTGTTTTTCCTCCACTTGGTGGCAGTAGATCATTACTGGGCAGTTTCTGACTACACATCTGTTCATCCCTGAATATCCACCATATGGTCTAAATTAGCAAAAGAAAACAACTGGTTAAATTACAAAAAAGCTACATCTGACAAACTGTAGCTTCTAGGGAAAGTCTTAAAAATTTCATGTATTAAAAGGCCACACAGGATCTTTCACAGCAAACCCTCAGCTTTATGCCTAAATTTGAATGTACAGAGTATTATTGACATAAATGTGGTAATTATTGGCATTTATCCTGAAACTTCAACATGCCCTTTAATTCTGTTGATAGTGTTAAAGGATTAGTGAGTCCTGCTCACTTAAAGCCCTGTTTAGCCTGAGGCAACGTGTACTCGGACTGCCACACACCTGTCCTCCAGCCCAGAACGCTCAGAAAAAAACGTAGAACATTAATGCAGGCGTCTTCTATTAAAGACACTTACGCAAACTGGTGGACTCCATTCGAGATGTGGTGTTGACCGTGTCTCCGAACAGACAGTACCGAGGCATCGTCAGGCCGACCACTCCTGCTACGACTGGACCTGCGATTTTCGAATGCATGTGGCGTATATACGTTACTATAGATGTTTATAAACGTACATTTTTCATAAATGCAGGTGGCGTTCCAACCGGGAGAGAACAGAAATGCATTGGGCCGTGTCAGAAGTCCAGCGTGTGCGGTGTCTTAATAGGATGACAGCACTCTAAGTGGATAGTGTTTCACTGTTCCAGGAACACGTTTCAGACGAGGATAAAAGAGGTAAAAATATCTCCTTGACTTAGCAGCTTGGGGACTCAGATTCTTCTTTAACTCTTATTCACCCTGAAGTGGAGTTTAGGTTTATTTTACCCAATATTGCACAGCACCGACAAGTATAACTCCTGGCTTACTGCACTTATCAAGAGTTTTGAGCACTTCGCATTAATTACTTTTTTCATGTAACACACAAAATTATTAGAAATACAGTATATAAGACAGATAATATTAAAGGTAAAAATTTAAATGCGTCTCCGATCATTTAACTTTTTTAGGGAAGCTTTTTTGAATCCGTGGGACTTCTGAATGACTTTTCAAAGCTTTGGTTCAGTCCTTGAAAACGATCGTTACACTTTGGCTCAGTGATACTGAGATCATTTACTTTTATTTAAAGTTTTCTCTGAATGACCTGCCTTTTTGTTGCGTTTTATTTTTTTTTTACTTTTGAAACATGTTTTGGATCAGTTTCTGCACTTGTTCCCCTACGGTTCCCTGGTGTTACAAAATCTGAAGTATAGCTAAACTGTGATAGGATTATCCTTTTTTATATAACTGTATTGTTTTGCTTTTGGTAGTTTTAGTAGATGCAATAAAAGAAGGAAAATATTTGCTATTGCTGTAAGTGGAGACACAAAGAAGAGGTATATCTTTAAGTTAAGGGTATTTTTATTCTCAGACGATATATCAATCTGAGAAATTAATCTATATAAAAATGTGCAACAGCCAGGCATGGTAGATAAGTGAAGAAAAGCTTTAGAAAACACTGATCCATTGCTTTTATATGCTGTTATAACAAACCGTGAAGTTATGTAAGCTCGTTGAACACAAAATGCAGTCATTTGTTTTAAGGAATTGTCCAGATGCTATTTCAAGGCGTACAGTTCTAATGTTGGGACTTTATCACTGAACAGAAAGTAGTAACATGATGCTCACCGGAGTGCAGGCCAACACGGATCCGGAGTTTCAGGTCAGGCATGTGTCTAGCCTTGAAGCTCCCAATCAGGCTCAAAATATCAAGGGACATGTTGGCCATCTCAGCTGCGTGACGATTGCCGTTCCTGGTGGGAACTCCAGAGGCCACCATGTACGCATCTCCAATGGTTTCCACCTGAGCAGCACGAAAACGAAGAGGTGAACAAACACAAGAGAGGGACTTTTGTCTCAACCTTAATTTACAGACAATTAGGAAACATAAAAAGTGAGGAGAACTTCAACCCAATACTAATATGTGTCAAATATGGAAAATTTGTAAATATAAATATATCTGATTTAATAGCTAATTCATGTTCAGCTTTATTCAAGTCCCAAAGGGCAATTATAAAAAAAAAAAAAAAGTAAGAAAGATATTAAAACTCAAAGTTTTAAAAGTGAGGGGCAATGCAGTGTGCCAAAATAACATCAAATATCACTCCAAAGATATGGAGCATCATCAGCAAACAATTACTACTAACATCAGTAACATATGTGAAAAAAATAGAAATCAGCTAATCAACCCAACAGTCAGATGCTACCCCCCCTGCCTTGTCCTGCAGTAAAAATAAAAATCTCTAATGTGTTATGAAGTATTTTATTCCTTTAAAGGCAATATTAATGGCAGTAACTCAGTATTTGTTACTGAGTACTGTTCGCATTTAAATGAAAAATACCAACAGAAACTGTGTAATCAGTTTCAAAATGACAAAGGCTATTTTTAATTTCTTGTTTTAGGTCAAACAAGATGAGTTTCCTTTCCTTACTATAGATAACGTCTATATTCCTAGGTTTTACACTATGTAATGGCATTACAGAAGGTTTTTCAACACTTTGTATCATAAAACACTGCGTGAGTTGGTTGAAATAATATTCAGACATTAAATAAAAATGTGAAATAATGGCCACCACCATATTTTACTATTTTTCCTTCCAGGCGTACATGAGTTTTTAACAATGAATTTTTAAAAAAACTATTAACTTCATGGTAGTGTTGAATTAGCCTCAGATCAATGTTTGAGTGATTTACAGAGGGAAGCCATTTGTGTGATTGAGGTCACAAGCAAAAAAGTGATGATCCACTCATATATAACACTGTATAATAATTAAACACAATATAATGCACAAAATCCCTTTAACATGTATGGGTTATCATTTTTTCCATACGTCACACAATGCAAAATAGTTGTTTGTTAACTTCAAAAACATAAAAAAGTAGTTCCTCTGACATGCAAACAATACTACTTTTAAAAAAAAGAAGCTAAATTCAGAATAAAGTCGCATTAAAACGCTGCAAACGGCCCATGAATGCTAACCTTGTAGACGTCGTGCAGTGGGATGATGGCATCAAAAAGCGTGTAGAGGTCGTTGAGCAGGTCGACCACCTCGATGGGCTCACTGAGCGCGGAGATGGTTGTAAAACCCACGATGTCACTGAAGTACAGCGTGACAACACTGAAATGTTCCGGCTCCACAGGCTTGCCGAGCTTTAGCGCCTGGGCCACAGACCTGAAAGACGAACATGAAGACTGAAAGGCGAGCTTGAAGTGCTGACACACAGGTTCTCAAAAACAATTTGCGTGTTTTCAAAACTTCAACAAAATGTGACTAATTAGCTTCACCATTCTTCAATGACCACTAAATTTAGCTATACTACAATCTAATCAGACGTCACTGAACACATTAATGATGTTTCTTCACACTGAAGAATGAGTTTATTCGCATTAAAGATAATATTAGCATTTTAGCTGCTAAGTAGTTAGCGCAAGCTAGTGCTAGCCATTTTCAACATACACACTTTAACCAAAGAATTTGTCATAAATTCAACTTGTAGACAAGCTATGAAGCTATATTTATTTGTGTTAATTATCTTTGTCATTTTGTAGCAGTTTTAAAATTTAATTGAAATGCTATTTAAATTTTTGAGCCTATGTATTTTGGTTTCCAAACTCAGATCTCTGTCAAGTCTTTTCAGACATGACGAGGCTGTCATCTTTACATTGGTTCATTCTATTTAAAATAAAAATAAAATAAATTCATTTTGACCCAATTTTTTTTATTATTATTTAGCCTATGATAAAAATACCCATTGAGATTAAAAACCTCTTTTTCAAGGAAGTCCTAACCAAGAGGTAGCAACAAATACAACACAGAAAAATACAGATAAAAGTCGAGCTATAAAAAAAACAGGCTCATAGAATCAGCCTCAAGAATTTTTTGTTTAAATTTAAAAGCATTAAACAAAATGGGTTCAGTTGATCTAAAAGTTTCTAATAACGAGTTCCATGACGAAGGAGCAGAGTGAACAAAATATTACTTGTTTAGTAATCTGGGTTATGGGTTATTCGTTGGCATTTATGTTTAGAAAGTAGTTACTTTTGCAGAGTCAAACCCATAACCTAACCTGTTAATTTGAGTCAAATGAATTAACACAACCCTCAGTCAGCAAAATAATTCAGACATTTTTGGAGCATAATCATTTATATCAGGTTTACATTTGTAACACTGATGTGGACTGGTTTTTTTATTTATTTTACGATTCTGTATTATCAGAATAGAAATTATGTTCAATGACATAAACACAAATGGGTCTTCTGTTGCTTCAGGACAAAGAGAGTCTTGCCTGTTAGGAAGTTTGCGCATTTTTGCACAAAAAAAAAAACAAACCTAAGGTGGCAATAAGCTTGGCACAATTAAAAAAAATTCAAAAGAAACTGCATTGCCATCAGTCACTTTAATGATGCAGTATTTTACTTTCTATCACTATGACTAAGCAGCATCATTTAATTTTTGTCACTTGGTAGTAAAAATGTTACCTCCTTTGCATCTGTTTTAAGCTGTTGTTAGTCGTCAACTGCAGTTTTGAGTATAACATCATGTCTTTATAATGTTTCCATATGATGAATACTTACTTGGGCAACATCTGAGCCACCAGTTGATCTGTTTTCTGTCTCTCCAGCTCGAGCTCCTCCGTCCTCTCTCTGATGAGATCCTCCAAGTTGGAGGAGTATTGCTCCAACATCCGCAACATAGAGTCTATAATGTTAGTCTTCTTTCCTTTGTGCTTGAACTGTCATGAGAAGGTTGGTTCCCAGTAAGTTTCAGTTCATTATAGAATCCCAAATGAACGTATTTCCAGATTTTTACCTGCTTGAAAATATCCTCAAAGGATGGTCTCTTCTCTGGATCTTCACTCCAGGCTTGTTTTATTAACTGAATTACTTCTACAGGGGCCTCCTCCACTGATATAATGGGGCGACATAGAGGTGGAGGGTCTTTAACCTTGTTGATAATCTCTGTCAACACACAAAAAATGAGCAAAATATTAGACACACACAACACAGAATAAATTAAAGGGAAAAGTTTTGTTTAAGAGTCCTTGTCTCATGCAAGGAGGATTTTTAGAAAGACCTTAGACATATAAAATTACTTAGAATCTACCACCATCTTGCCTGAAGTTACTCACCCTTGGGAGGCATATCCAGCATGCAGAAAGGCGAAGAGCGAGAGACAATCTCCTGCACAATGATGGAGAAACTGTAAACGTCTCCAAAGAAAGTCCCTTTCTTCCTCAGACTTGGGTCTCGCAGCAGCTCCGGAGCCGACCAGAGCAAGTCTTTTTATTGGACAAAAACGCACAACCGTAGATAAGCAAATTGTCATGCATAAGTAAATAAAGAAAAAAATGTTATTCCAAACTTGCAGGTGTTCTCACCCTCAGGCTTTTCCTCATCGGTGTCTATGCTTTGTGTAATCAAAATTTCATTAAACCCATAATCTGTCACTTTCAGCACAAAGCGCCCATCCACCACACAGTTACGAGATTTGAGCCGCCCATGAATGATGTTGCGATGATGCAGGTACTTCATTCCCTGATGGAAGTAAAAAATAAAAAAAATACATGTAATGAGACAACCTGATCATGTGTAAAATAAAACAGAGAGAAGTCTTTCTTACCCTGATCAGATCCATTAACAAGGAAGACTTGAACATCCAGTCAAGACGCACATCTTCGTTGCCCAGCAAATCCTCCAGACTTCCCCTGCTGCAGTGCTCAGTAACAATGCCAAAGATCCCAGAGTCAAAGAACAGTCCCAGGAAAAGATTTAGGTTCTCATGCCTCATCTCCCTTAGCTGAAAGGGAAAAAAAAAAAAAAGCAACACTTTTTTAATGTTTTACAAAACCACTGTGCTCTGCTCTTTTGTGACCAAAAAGTATTTAGTATTGTTAAATTATTTGGTTTATCAAAAACAGAGTTTCCACCACAATGAACACAATGATTCCCAAGTTCAGCCATTTTGAAATCTTTATACAAATAAAACTTTTTTCAGTTTGCCATGTTTTTATGTATAAAGATGATATGCAATTTAACCTTGCATATCATCATTACTCTAAAATCTAAACGTCCAAAAGAAAAAAAAAAAACAGAAAAGTTGCCATAATTTGGGAGTTCATGTAAAAAACTAAAAGATTTCTCATTTCTCATTTTAACTTCTGCTTCGTATCTCATTAAATCTTTCTCACACATACATCTTCAAGGCCAATGCGCCTAGTTGGCAAAAACAGAACACTTTCTTCTTCTGCCAGAGGCTGAAAGAACAAGAACAAAGTTTTCTCTGGCCAAGACATTTTCTTGGACACCTTGGAAGCCCTCATATATCTCTCCTACTGAAGCACACCACCTTCATATTTCTCTGACACCACATTATAGAAAAAGGTTCTGACCAGAATGTGTCACAAGACCAAACTTCAAGAACTCACTTACTTTCACAAAGACTACCTCTGTGCTGCCATTCACGCTAGAAACTGTTCCTGAGGGACATTTCTTCAACCAAACCCAGTCACCCTGTAGGATAAAGTAAACATTACTTTTTACATATCAGAGGATCCAGACAGAACTAAAAGTGGGAAACATATCCATTGCATCTGGCGTGGTGTAATTTTCTTACCTCAAACACAGCAACGTTTGAACTGTCTGGAGTGGAGGCTAGGTAGCTACGGCCAGACACAGAGTGGTGAGGTGTCTTCATGTCGCCTTGGCTTTTCATGATACTTTCATCATTTAGCTTCTGCTCACAGAGAGGATAAAAAGGTAATGCCAGAGCAAATCATTTGGAAATGCAGAGGTGTCAGTTTTGATTCAGTGAGACTGACCCGTTTGCTGACTTGAGTGTTGATAAAAACCAGATCATCAAGAGTCAGGATCACCTTCGATGAGCCACCGTTTCCATTACTCCCAAAGCTGAACCCAACTTTGCCTTGTTTCCTGTGCACAAAAACATCATGTATAATTGAGAAAACACAAAAACTGAGCAAGCTGAGATGTAATTTTCCTACTCTGCTATACCTACTTCAAGTGAAGAAAGACGTTTACTACACCTCCCACCAGAGAAATGAACAACAGGGATAGAAAAAAGAATGTGATTATATCCATCCCTTTGGAAAGAAGAAAAAGAACAAACGTTTGTGTAAATTACCACATTTATTACATCAGTGTATGGATGCTAGTATGCTAACAAACTGACCTCCAGTGCAAGCAAAGTACGAGCTAAACCAGCAACTTGAATCTGTGTAGGGAGTGCTGCCTGCAAAGTGAATTGAGCGGCCAAGATATTTCAAGCCTCCTGTCTTGCCGTCTGTGTGACTACGATGAAGAAAATGTGTGGAGTAGAGCGAGATGCCCATGCCGCTGTAGTCCAGCACTACATAGCTAGCCTGCATCCCTTCACCGTTTCTTCCTGCCTGCAGCTGCTGATTGAATCCTTCAAATTCAAAGCCTCCCTCACTCTCTCCCAGGACGGCACCTGATACCCAATGGCCTCCACTTGTGCGGGCTTGCTCAGCAGCCATAGCAGTATAGTACATCATGTTGTAAATGGTGCCAAAGAATGGAGAAACCTAACAAAGGGCAGTCAGACAATACATTTTAGGAAGAATGCGTTAACTTTGGTTTCTCACTTTCAATAATTAGATTCCTCAACAAGTCTTACCTGTTCTGGTGGAGTACTGCTGCGTACTTCATAGGTGTTTTGAGCCTCTCTGAAGGCCTCATAGAAATTGTGTTCCCCAGACTCCATGGTGATGGTGAGAACTCCATCATAGGCTTTTCGGAGCTTGGTATCATTTCCTAGCATGTAGTAGTTTGCGTCTTTGTATGGTAGGGAATACAGAAGTGTGTCATAGGTAATAAAAACATAGCCACGGTCTATCATCCGCATAGCTAAGGCTGTTGTCAGGAGCTGGTACTGGGCTTGGCCACCAATCAGGACAGAGGGCATGCACATGATGATCACTGCAAAAAGATTAACAAAGCAAGTTTGCACAGTTTGCATGGGCTTAAGTTCTTGACTTCTGAGTAAAGTGCATCTTACCTCTAACTCGATCTGCTTCCCTCACTCTTTTCAGAGCTCTCCGAGGCCCGTCCTTATCACTCTCCATTGTGATTACAGGGTTGACAGGCAGGCCAAGAGCCCTGAGTGAAGTGGCTAACTCCTGTCCTGTGGCTTCCCAAATATCAGTTTCTTCTGAGATGATGGCCACATGAGCCCATCGAAAATACCTTAGCACTGTAAAAATTACATGGGCAGACAATGGCAGTGGTCTTAGGAAGGTAGGGTACGTGTCTCCTGTGTTCATGTTGGGTTTGAGACAACCCCAAGACAGAATCCCAACATCCCACTCTTTTGCATACAAAGCAGCAGAGGAGCAGTAGCCTGGGTTAGCAGGACCCAAGAAAGCAGCACCGTAACCTTCTAGATCAGCAAAGCGAACAAGGGCACGAGTTGACTTGCAGTCCTCATTAATCAATGTGTAGTCATACCAGTAGCCTTTGTTAAGGTAGGGGTTCTTGTTTATACGGCTGGTGGCAAGGCGGGCTGCCAAGTCAGGGAGAGCCTTAGAGTATAAGATGTCACATGTCCAAGGTCCAACCAGGGCCACCTTGAAAGTGGTTGCCCATGCTTGACAAGGAAATAATGAGATCATGAGTAATAGGAGATAAAACCAGTTCCCCCTTGATCTTCTGGTTTGCTGCACTGGGGATGATGGCAACTGTGGTGTTGATGACAAGGATTTTGATGACAGTGATAATAGTGCTGATGATAGCTGAAACTTTCTACAGCCAGCAAAACTATTTGTAATCACCGTCCATATATGCCTCTTTTTTATCACTTTAACTGAGTGGTGCCTCCATCGTGGGTGGTAGGCAAGGTTGTGCAGACATCGAGGGTCTCTCTGATTAGTCATTTTCACATCCAGCTTCAATGACGCCTCAGACACAGAAGGTGAACTGAGAGTTTACAATGGTAGGTGAGATTTTCTTTGGTTCTGGGATTGCTTCCCTTGGCACTCCGCAGGCCTCTAGTCCAAAGGTGGACAGGCGGCAAGAAGACTCCAAGACATCACTGCCTCCAGGAGACAAGAACGAAAATATATTAGGAAACATAAGACACAACATTTCATAATTATGTTGGAACTGAAGACTTGTTTTGATTTAATCTTTATAAATCAGAGATGAGCCTTGAAAATCCTTTGACAAGATGCCATTATGAATCCTATCAGCATTGATATGGCCTCACAGCTGAGGACGCGCTGCCTGTGCTGTCCCTTGGAGAATTACTAGCATGTGTGTAAGAAGCTCATTAGCTTTGCCAGAGCTAATTCCAGGTAACCATCAGCTAAATCTGGATCCTGTTCTCTAACCTTCTATTTGCTATGCTATCTCCTTTGCCTGTGATTTGGTCTTTCCAAGGTTTCTGCGCCATCTTCAAGTCTAATTCAGTCATACATGTCATACTTCTATGTAAGCTGGTAAAAAATTAAGGATTCCTTTTCTGAAATCAACTTTATAGCTAAACAGAAATTGCTGAATCATACCTGCCTCCTGAACCATATCTGTTGCTGATATAGTGTGTAATTTACATATACAAACTCAGAATTTAAAACCTTTTTCCCAAAATATGTAATTAGCAAATAAGTTTTTTAAGTTATTTATACTGACACCCCTGTAACTAGGTGCTGTTGTATATCAAAAGCTTTCAAATTAAACTTATTTAAAGTGTGTAGCGAGCACCGACAGACCTAAGCAATGCTACAGAAAATAAAGAATTGTTCACCTGTACATAGCACATGTCAAATTAATGGAGACCTTACCTGGAGTAGTTTTCAACACAGGAGCCATGTCAGGGTTTGAGTCTGTCGTTAAATAGCACCATCCAAATTCCAGGTGAATTAAGCGTACTCAGGATGAGATTATCTTTTGTCTTGCATTGTGAAACATAAATCCTAAACTCAGGTGAGGTACAAAACAAAAATAGAAAAAAAAGAACACCTGGAAGTTTATATCATTTTTTTGTCCAAGTTATTAGAAGCAGGTTGAATGAAAAAAACTTCCAAATTCCAGGGTGTTGGTCTTCTTGGTTTAGTTGTTGCTGTCCCTGTTTTGGACTGGGACCCACCCCAAACCACAGGTACATGAGAAGAGGTGCAACCCGGTTCCAGAGTTTGGACTGGTAAAAATAGATCAGCTTGATGGGCTGAGGGCTTGAGAGAGGGAATAAGTAAAGGGAAGGAAAAAAGTGGGAAGGGCTGACAAGCTTTGACTTCTCAACCTTCTTTAGCTTTTAATCCATACTAGTGTGGGAAACATGTGTGTTGGGGGGAAGCATAGTGGCAGGGAGGATCACCAGGAGAAGAAGGTGAAAGTAGAAGCACACTCACTGTTTCTCACGTGCTGATTTATCCAAGCAACTGTTGCATAGAGTGCACTTAAACATGACTTCTAGATAACTGGAAACTTAAATCCTGTTTAAACAAGTGGGTACCTTCACATGTCTGCGTGAAAAAAACAGAAATTTTTAGTGATTTGCAGTTCAGGCCTCTTTAAAATCAAGGACAAATGACACAATCTAGAGGTTTACAACACAACATGAAAGTAAGTTCGTGGAACATTTTATCCCATATTCTGATCTGACACTGAAGATATGGAGACACGCCAGAAAGGTTGGGGATAAAATATTAAAAGAGACTAAAAAGAAATATTCCAATCTTTGAAGATCTCACAGAGTGCTATTCCATTCATCACCTTTAAAATGGAAAGAATATGGCAGAACTATGAATCTATCAAGACATCACATGCTCCACAAAGCTGATCTTGTGTAATAGTGACAAGTACAAAGCGAATGTTAACAAAGCCATACAAGATCTTGTTTGACGATCACCACAAGCCGTTGTGGTTGTGGGAATGTGGTACAAGTCAGATACGCATCAAAAGAGTGCAAAGGATGAGGTTCGGATAAGTATTGACAGGAGGCTAAAAGATGGATATGTGGTGCTGGAACTGAAGAGTGAAGCATGAAATTATACAAGTCAAAAAGCATAAATTTCTAAGCCTGATAACATGGGGCTATACTACGATGTGAGCTAAGGAAAATTAGTCAACAATTTGTGAATACTTGGGAATACAGCCAATCAACACAAAGTGCCTCTCCTGGATTGGCTCCAGCTAATAGCATGTCAAGTAGCATTGTGACTGAGTTTCAGCTTCCCAAGCTGCATTTTATTTTGAAAATTACAGATATGCTGAACAGGAAAACACTTGAATACATACATTTACTATGAGTAATTAGAAATTACATTTCTCAGAAAAATGTGTGAAAAGTTGAATTTGCTGAACAATGACAGTAGGTGGGGGGTCCACAGTACATATGCAGGGAAGGTGACAATTACCGAATGGAAGCAGCTTTGAAGCAGAAAACTGAGTATTTCTGTCCTTTTCCATTTTATGGAAGATTTCTGAGTATAAATGAAGCAATGATTAAAATGAAAAACAACCATCCAGTACGAAAATCTAAGAACAGAAATCATAAGAATGTTCAGAAAAGAAGCAACCAAAGTACAACCAATCATGGCGAAAGATTTTTGTTCACACAGGTGCCTTCCATCCAACCTGTCTGTGTTGAATCTGTACAATGATGCTCATGAGGCAAAAGAAGTACGTAAGCTGGAGCAAACAGCTGAAAATATCTGGTGTGCTAATTGTTATAAGCTAACAGGAAGTTGTTTCTTTGATAAGGTAAAAGAAACAACAAAAACTCTGTTTAAAATGAAAAAGCTGCTGGGAAATAATGCTCAAACATGCATCCTCAATGACCTCTTTATGAAGGCTGGTTGCGGCATATGTGAGGTAAGCGCTGTTCTCATTTGTCCTGTCTTGCACATCCACAGAAGACTTGTTAAAGTAATCAGATTAGTCAGGCGAGGCCTTGCTAAACTGGTCGGCTGCACGCAAGCCTCTTAGTGACATGGCTGACAGCACTGTTAGAGATCACTCCAAAGCAAGGTCGGACATACAGCCAGCTCAGCAGAGGCAGCATCACTTCACCATACTGTCAGGAGGCGATCAGCACCTACAGCTGGGGTGGCCAAGTCCAGTCCTCGAGAGCTACCATCCTGCAACTTTCAGATGCATCCCTGCTTCAACACACCTGAATCAAATGAATGGCTTGTTATCAGGCCTCTGTAGAGCTGATCCCGGTGTGTTGGAGTAAGGATACTTCTAAAACTTGCAGGATGGTGGCTCTCGAGGACTGGACTTGGCCACCCCTGACCTACAGGTTCACTGTGAGGCAGTAGATGTGAGGCCACTTGCTTGCAAAACTAGTAATAAGACATTTTGTTCAACGCTCAAAAAATACATACTGTCTCAACTAAAAGCATTCATCTACCTTAGTTAATACTTTACTTGAGAGGGTTTGTGAAAGGAACAACAGTTTTCCGTGATCAAATTTGATTATTCAAGTGATTTAATCTGGCAGACTCTCCCAATGACATCACTCCCACCTTCCAGGATCACAGGATCAACAGCGTGTAGGAAAGCTAGGAGTCATCACTGAAAGTCATACCAGAGTGTAATTTAGGAAAGGTAATCATGAGCAGCCTATGGGGAAACCTGTATATCCACTCTCACTGGCTGCAGAGAGCTGTGAGCGCATGTTGCCTCTCCAGGATGAATCCTAGAGGACCACATTCAGTACACGGTGGATTTTCACCTTCAGATTATTACTAACATAACATTTTTTTTAATAAAAAAAAAAAAAAGAAATCCTCTGCGAGCTTTACTGGTGAGAGTATCGCAAAAACAGCTTTACTTTACCTGTGTGAGTTTTTGCTAACAGACACGTTGATGCATCGTAGTCGTTTCAGAGGTTTGGGTCGTATTGACTGTATGCTGCCACCTTTTGAGCAAGTAGTGCAACTGCAACGCGATTCTTTTCAAACCAAAGAGGCCGAGTAGATTCCCTGACACCATCCGGACAGGTTTAAATGATTAACCCTTATAGTAGATTATCTGTTCAGATTATTTATTTTGGGCACTTAGACAAAAGATACAAACACCAAAAGGCAGCAGATGCACAACAATAATTTAAATGAAGGGTCTAAATAGATGAACAGAGGAACACCTTTTTGGCCAAGATGTTGTTTCAACCACTCAACTCTTTATCTGATTGTAACAGACAAGATCTTACTCTGCTTTGCAAAAGTATTAAAACCCTTCCTTTCTCCTATTTTGCTGTATTACAGCGTCAAACTTCAGTGTATTTTACTAGAATTTGTGATAGACCAACACAATGTGAAAATTAATAATTGGGGTGTGAAAGAGAAAGCACACAGCATCTTCCCATCATTTGGGCTACAGGACTGGAATTTAACACTCTGTGCGCTATCACCACTGTTGTCATTCTCATTTAATCAGAGGCAGTATCAGTTTGTCAGCGTACAAACAGTCCCTTTAAATGAAAGAGGACTGTTTCTTCTTAAACAAACAGCTGACACATTGTAACTGTGATAGGTTCATAAAAGTCTGGAAAGGGTGGTGTAGATATTTGTTTTAACACTTTACTCTGATTAATAAAGAGGGAAAAAAAGAAGAAGGACCACCAAAGACGAGGAGCTTGAGGGGATTGGTGCACAGCCAACAAATGTAAGTCACGTTCGACTCACAGTGACCTTCAAGTATGAAACCTGCTTTGGTCAACTTAATAAAAACTCATATTAGCAAAAAACAGTTTGCCCTAGAGTTGTTCTGCTTCATCATCCATATGCACAGTTCATGTAGGACCATTAGCCTTCACACATTCCCATTTTTATGCCCACAAGCCATTCATTTGTGACCCATATAAAAAAGTTGGCTGGGAGGATCTGTTACCTGACAAAATGCAGAGAAATGTGCCTGCAGCTCTGGGAGAGAATGAAAATGGAGATAATCATCCCCACTGATGAGGGAACAAGAGTCAGTGGATTTCAGAAGATAAAAGAGGAAATAAAAACATAAATAAATATGAGGCTCTATCTTAGTGAGATAATAAAAGGTGAATTTGAATCGGATTCTGACCTACATTACTTTGTTGATATAATGCAGATGCAGGGTGAAATAAAACCTGATTAGTTATTCAAAACCAGGTCAGTGTTACATGCATTCCAGTAAACAATAGCAGTTTATCCTGCAGGACTTCAACCAGTTGATTGGCAAATTATGCCATGGAAATTCGGGTTCCTACAAAATGTCCACCAGAGAAAATCCAACAAACGATTAGTGTCCAGTGCACCACCATGCAGCCAAGTGAAGTAAATAATATAAACAACATGTAAGATGTCACAAAGTTTCAGTACAACTTAAGAGCTTTAATGTTTAACTGAATATATGAGTCTGAAAATGCACAAACCAATGTTAAACAGATTACTGATATGTTTAAGATTATTTTTTGGCGACTGGTTTTTATTTTTGCTTGATTTTGTTCCAACGCCGCCCTGTTTTTGGTCAAGTTTGGTCCTGTTGAATCTGGCAGAATTTTTTATTTTCAAGAGGAGAGTTTCCCAGTTTCAACTGCAACAAATAAACAGAACTTAGGTAAAACGGTAACTAACATGCCTATTTTTAATTTCATACACAATATAAATCACACTTTAAATGAGCAGACACTTGTCAAAACAAATAATACTATTGTTATTATGGTAAATTATTATTAGTAATAATAATTTAGTGTCGCTTTTTATTTTGGTCATATGCAGGTAGGTACATTTTGTAGTTTGTGTGGAGTTTGCTACTTCAAAGTATCTGTAAGTAATGAATGCTGTTTCTGCTTTTGATGACACAAGTCGTGTGTTGGTCTCGACTGGAGGACAAGTTTGTTTACAGAGACTTCATAATTGATCTTATTAGTTTTTTTTTCTGTTGTTTTGTTTATTTATTTCAGATATTTAAAATGTCTTCCAGTTCCACAAAGTTTATTGATGTTTAAGAATATGTTCTCGCATTATTATTATGCCGTCAGTGTTATATTACTTGAAAATACTGTAGTCTCAAAGCAACATTATCGCTTATCGCAGTAACTTCTGGAAGAATTTATTGTCCACCAAAATTTATCGTGACAGGCCTGATTATGTGTATCAAATGTATTTAGGGGAAGCTATTATTTCCTCAAAACAAAAATGACGGCATGATTTATCAGACAATCGGAGTTTGATGATAACCAGCATTTTCTCATCATCTGGGCTACAGGACTGGAATTGTACATTCTGTTCACTATCACCATTTTTGTGACTCTTTCATTTAATCAGAGGCAGTATCAGTTTGTCAACGTACAAACAGTCCCTTTGTTTCTGTTTTCCTTCTTTTGGTTCAATGTTTTGTTGGCTCTTGTGGCCTTTATTTCGCAGAAGGTGGGTTATGAGAGGTGGAAGATGCGACCGCGTCAAGGACCATGGCATACATTGGTCGCGCTTTGCCCTTTGCCACATCCACAAACCAAACATTCCCTTTAAATTAAATAGTAGTATTGTTTCTACTGAAATAAACAGCTGACATATTGTAACTGTGATACAATAGTTACAATATGTTAGTGAGATAACAAAAGGTGAATTTGAATCGGATTCTGACCTACATTACTTTGATATAATGCAGATGCAGGGTGAAATAAAACCTGATTAGTTATTCAAAACCAGGTC